GTGTACTTGCTTCTGTACTAGGTTTCACTTCAGCTAGGAGGAGAAACATATAATGCAGAGTAGAGAGGTTCCTGAGGGGACTGAGTGGTTAGTTCAGAGCAGGTCAGCCCAACTTCAAATTTTAATGTTTGAAGTTTGTTCAAAGAAAGGTGGGCAGCAAGACTGCTGATGGCTGAAATTTCCTTAAAGAATGTATGGTGAGAGACTTCAGGGAAACTGCTAGATACCTGAAGACTATCTTGGAACTTGAGGACATTCTCGAAGAGCACAAACCTTATTTGTTGAACTTGAAAATTTCACCTATTTGCTCTATGCGAGTGGCTGGGCAGACCTAGTGTGAATTCACAAAGCTTTTTTTGTTCTTCGTAATCTATTACCACCTTTCTTCCTACACTGATAATATTTAAATCTTAGGAAAGTTTCTGTTAGTAATCCTGTCTTGCTGTTTCATAACTGGAAGATAGCAAAATGTATAAATGTACCCTTTAAATGGTAGAAATGGAGAAAATCAGTTTTGCTGATCTCCAGGAAACAGAGAAGGTGAGAGCAGTATTTGTAACCCCTACCTAGTCAAAGAACTTGAACACTGATTAGGCTCTGACAGTCTCTGACAGTCTCAGTCTTGTTTGTGCTTAGCTATTCAATCAAGTCTTTCAAAAAGGACTTGAACCTTGACCTTCCACAGAGGTGCCATATTGTTTTTTTCAAATTCCAATTCCTTGCTTTCATTTTGACCTGGAAGTTTATCCTTCCTTGTACAAGAACATATGCTTCTGCCAAACAATTTAGTTGTGATAAAATAGCAAAAAAAAAAAACAACCCAAAGCATCTTCCTGAAAAGTTGATGACTAATTTAACCAGGAAGTAGTAACTAAGACTTTTTTTTGCAGTATGTGAGCACTTGAAGTGTACTTCTGAAATCTGGCGAGCTGAGCTTTACTGAAGGCACAAACCAGCTGAACTCTTTTGCACTGCACTGTAGGGTGTTGTAGATGTCAGGCACGCATAATGATTGTTGATCTAAGACAAACCCAAGGTGAGTTTGAGTAGTATTTAGTTCAGAGAATTCCCCAAGTTGTCAGTTGTGAGGAACAGTGTATTCTTGGGAAGGAATATTCTCAGGAGGTGCAACTGTTGTGTCTTTGCATCTGCTACTCACTACTCACATGGAGGACATGCTGACTGAGGTTAATTTTTCATTCAGCATCCTGTAGCAGATCTTAAATCTAAAGAATTTGACATCATCAGGAAGCATTCTCATGAACCTGATGATATAGTGTAACTTAACAGGTACTAATATGTTCAATTTTTTCAGGACTAAAGTTCATCTAGGTTACATATTTTTATACACTACAATTAATACTTAGGAATACCTCACCTTTTATGCAGGACATCTTTAGTACTCTTAAATGTGGATATGAAGCTGTATTTGAAGCTGTTCTAGTTGCTCGTGAAAGTATTGTTTATTAAAGTGAAAATTTGCTTTAAAAAATAGTTGAATCAGTGATTTATTACTGTATATACTCTAGTTATGTAAAAGTCCAGATAGTGAGCAGGATTCTGTATGTGCGTGTACACGTTGATATATTCAACTTTAATGCATTTTCTTGTTTCTCAGTTTCAAAACAACTTTTTTCTTAGAGCTTTTTCACATTAGTTGGATCAAGGTTTACTTCGCTGCCTGTGTTCTTTCAAATTTTGGTATTATTAGCTATGCATACTATAATGTCTCATGTTTTAAATTCTTGGGATCTCAGTCTTGCTAAGTCTTGGCATATCGAAGTTTGTTCCCTGTTTTCTATAGTGAAAAAGCTCTTGAAAGAGCTAAGAGTTCTCGTTGGGTCTGAGGTGATACTGAATCAACATGGAATCTTAATTTTTTGTTGCATGACTAGGTGAGCAAGCTGTGTTATGGGCTAGTCTCCAGGCAAGTAGAAACTAGTTTTAATGTGTTAGAACAACAGTGAAAGCTGTTTGCAAATATTTTTCAGCAGTAGCTTCTGTGATTGACTTATATCAATGGAAAATTATTTAAGACAGGTTTTTGCCCTGCCTTCAGGGAAGACTTTTTTGGAAGAACTCTTGAATCTGCTATAGGTTTCCTAATGGAAGATGAAAATGAGGGCACTAAAATTATTCATGCCTCTATAGGGATTGAATAACAGTGGGTAGGCAAAGGATCTAGACCTTAAGCAATCAGGTTTTAAGCTAGTCAAGCCCTTTCATCTTGAGGGAGGAAAGGAGGGGCAGAGGATGCTGTTGTCTGATCTCGGTAGTTTGTTGTTTACTTGTTCCGTGGTCTTTTTAACTTCAGTCTGAGACAGGTATGTGAAGTCCCATGTAAAGACAAGGTTGTGGGCTGGGAGCTACTCTGTGTTTGGTCCAAAGTGAGCACACAAATTTCTGCAGTTCTAGAATGGTTTTGAGTGCTGCTTTTGTACTCAAAACTGTTTACAGGCCCTACATTCTGTCTCGAAATCCTTATACTTTTACTGGTATGAAAAAGGATTTCTATTGAATGTAGTTATTTAAGCTATGTTTACAGCTGAAGGAAGTAAGGTTTAAGGAAAAATGACAGCTTTTTGAATGATGCATTCTTGCTTTTAGTAACTTGCCTTTCATTACTTAGTGTCCTGGCTTTATTTTACACTTTGCAAAGTTGTTGATGAGTTTGGAAACCACAGCAGGGGAAAGAAAACAAAATGGTTTATATGGTTTCTGTGAGGATTTAAATTTCTTTGTTAGAGAACAAATCAAGAGTCACTTCTCTAGTCATGACAAACTTATTTCCCAAAGCAGTCATTGAATTCTGTACAAATATATAATCAGGGAATTATTCTTCAATGTACCTAATCAGCATCGAGATAACAGAAATCTCCCATTATTATAGGGTCTTATAGCCTCCTTGACCTATCTCAGTGTACTGCAACCAGTATTGTCACCCTAGTTGAGATAGTTGATAGTGCTGGTCAGATATTCTCTTTTTTGCTGTTGTCTCTACAGACTAAAAATCCAAAGCTTGTACTACTCATTGTGGTTAACTTACGTTGAATAATTTCAGACTTTAAAATAATTCTCATATTAGTGTGCATTATTCTGTCAATCCTATATACTTAATCTTGATGTTCATGTCCTGCTGCTTTCTTCACACCACATTTCAAATGTGTCATTATATCAGTATCCTCATTTGAGGACACCACACTCATTTTAGTTAAATGTGTCTGTGTTTTAGTTAAACACCACTGACCTATTTGCTCATCATTTTTGATGGCAAGTATCCCCTTCCTTCCTATTCTATGATGGGAGAGTGCTGCAACCTGTCACTTCAGACGTGATGGTGTTCAACACTTGCCCAATTTCCCTGTTGATCATTTGGGAAGCTGACCTTTGTCAGTGAATGCATCTTCAGAATGATTTCTTTTGTTGGACCCTGTGAACTCTATCCCTCCCATTTAGATTTTACTGCTCTGAAAGTGACCCTTCTTCCTGCCAGATCCCCCACTCAACTGCAACCATATCTTATAAACCTGAAGTTCTTCCTACCACCAGTCTCATTTCTGGTACTGGGAGCCTTTCATATAGAGTTGTGCTATGGAGGTCATCTCTGGCTGCTTTGGACAGTTTGGATCATCTCTCTCATATCCTTGTGGTTTTGGTACCTGAGTGCAGTCCTAGTGGTTTTTAGGAACTTATATGTTGCAAGGGCTCTTCTCTTTGTGTTTTTGTTGTTGTTGTTGCATGCTTCCTCCACCATCTTCCCCCCCTATCCCCCTTTCTACTTTTTATAGGGTTTTGGGTGAGGATATGTGGCTCTGCTGTGCTGGAGAGGACACTGGAATTGTTGCCCCACTTGGCTAATCTTGTGTTATTTTTACAGACAATAAAGACTGTTGCAACATTGGGAAGTGCTCCCCAGTGACTCTGAAGGGGTCCCCTGTGCATCTACCCATTGTGTACTTGTGTAACCCCAGAGCTGATTGCAAACCTCTCCATTTTCTCTTGGTTTCAGTTCAGATGTCTTAAGACTACTCTTTAAAGATGTTGATCTGCTTCTGCTGTGCATTGCTTCCTCGAAAGGCAGGAAGGTTGTTACTGCTCTTTGATATGTACATCAAGGGATGAGCACTGAAGTTTTCTACACTGGGATTCTTAGTGTTGCTCCTGTGTTGCTGCTCTGGTGTCTGTTCTAAACCCCAGTTTATACAGCAGTATTTCATCATTATTACAATTTAGATGTCTCTTAATTTCCTGTCTTCATGCTAACTTGTACATAAGATTATATGTGTGACTAGACACAGTCAGACTGAAGATAATGCTGTCTCCCATCTCCAGCAGTAACCAGGGCTAAATGCTGAGTGAAGCATGTAAGAACAGGATGAGCATGTTGTGATTCTTCCCTAGAGTTCTCCTAACTGCTTGCAGCTTGTGACTGAGAGCATCTTAAGTCAGTCTGGTATTCAGTTTTGGACAGATTTTACCTGGCTCTTACCTGCTTGTGTTTGAGCCTGTGTAAGCTTTTGGCTTCCAAGCACCATGCAGTAATAAGCTTCATAACTTGGTTCCCCACACAGTCTGTAGTCATGCCCTTTTGCTGAGTACCTGCTATTGGAAGAGTGGAAAATGATGGTTTGTTCTATCATGTAGTCTCTCAGATAGCTTTTTTCCTGTTGAGGAGCCAGATCTTTTGGATTGTTCCTTTGCTATTGTGGAAGCCAAGCAAGCCAAGTATTTGAGAGTGCAACCCTAAAGTTGCTGACCAAAGGGTTCAAAAGTTGCTTGGAAGTTAGGGAAGCAGAAATAGCTTGTGAAGGTAAGCATGCATGGACAGCATTGTTAGAAAAGCCTAGTTTGCTTAAGGAAGTTGGTCACAGTAGCTATGCTTGATTCAAAGACTAACAGCTTAAGAGTGCTTATTGTTTTAAAATCCTGGTTTAGTAAGAATGCTTACTGTTTTAAAATCCTGGTTTGGCCAATCATTTTTCATTTCTCTTTAATTCTAGAACTTTTGAATCCTCTTGGGAAACATGAAAACCAAGAACTACATTTTAAATATCTTTCAGGACAGTTGACACATTTCAGGGAAAAGCTGGGTTTTTTTTCCTGCAAGGTTCTAAAGAATCTGCGTTCTCTGGATTTTAAATAAGTATAAAATGAAAACAGGTTAAAACTTAGCCTTCAAAATGAATATTGAAAAGTCAGATGACAAGGCAAAGAATGGCTTGAAGTCTTCCTTACTTACAAGGGATGAAAATGGAAATAACTATGTACATGGCAGAGCTACACCTTCCTCAAAGATTTGTGCCACCAAGATAAACAGTAATTCAACTGACCAAAATACAGTGAGTGAGCATGAAGATGGTATCATTCTTGAAAATCAGAGTGACTTTGGAAGTATCCTTTTAAAAAAGCAGTGTACTGAAGCACTTCCTCTGCAGAAGACACCTGGTATATACAACTGCACAGGAGCTCTGTTGGGAGATGCAGATGCTGCATGCAAGTCTTCTGTGACTGAAAAGACTTGTGTATATCCTTGGAACTGTGATTTGAAAGAAAAAACAAACTTACTGACAGGTAATGTTGCTATGGCAAAAATGCAAAATCAGAGTATCAATCAATCGGTGCCTTACAGTCAGACTGACTCTAAGTGTGTATTATCTCTTCCTGCTTCAGAGCGGAACACGTGGTCTCTGATAAATGACAGGTCATGCTGCCACCTGAACACATTGGATAGTGATAATATTATAGGTGAAACTCTGGGAACTGATCAAAATGATGACATGCATCCAAGGGAAATGCTAATACCTTCTGAAGTGTGTATGAGAGAGAAACTTGATGGAAATAGCTCAGAAAGAACACCTCATCTTTCCTCTATGATAGTGGCTTCAGAAAGCCCAGATGCTCATTCAGAACTTGAAGTATGTTGTTCTGCCTCTGCAGGTGTCGAACGCTATTTAAAAAACACTAACAAGACTGACAAAGAATCACAGGAAACAGAAGCACAGTCTGTAAAACTAGCTGCTGGATATATAAATCCTTATAGGCGAGATGCATTATCACCATACATTAATATTAATGAAGATGACCAAGTAAAATCTTTGCAGGTTACCCCTGACCATGGTGAAACTGGGAGTTCCAGTGCTGAGACATGCATAGATAGTCCAATAAATAATGTACACCTTCTCCCAGGAGATAAAATGGATGGAGAACAAGTATTGAAGAAAACCAATGAACCCTTAACCAAAGAAAAAAGTATCTGTGGAAATGCTGCTCTTCAGGATATGCACACCACCTCTTACATATCTCACAGTGTACCAAAATTAAAGAGGATAGTTATGCCGGACCTGAAATGTGAAGCAACTTTTGTGGTCTTCAGTCCTACGGCTGATGAAAGCAATTCTGCTCTATGTACTTCAACACCTAACGAACGATCAAAAAATAGAACTTTTTCTGTTTCAGCTTTGGCAGAACTTGGAGACAAGTCTCCTAAACTAAAACCAAATGAGGTGTTTGTAGGAGGGCATAATAGAAGGCCTTTGCTTAAAGCTAGTTCGGGTCAAACTGCAGGTAAACCAGTGGGCAGGTCTCCTATTGTGTCAACAATAACCAAAGCGAAGAAATCAGAGATTGTTAGTTTTCCTAAACCTAATTTCAAAAATGTTAAGCCAAAGGTTATGTCTAGACATGTGCTACAGTCCAGAGACAGTGCAGCATTAAAACAATCTCCCCAGTCCACCCAACAGCTATCAACTGTCTCCTCATCTTCACTGGTTGCTTCTGCAAGGCAACTGTCCCCTTCTATAAAAGTGCTGAAAAAGAAAATAGATCTAGCTAAAGATAATACAGTGGAATTGCCTGTGAGTAAGCCCCATAAGCTACATCTTAACAAACACCTCTTCGCTAACCAAGTCGTACATGCCACAACACATCCCAGAAATGCTTCCCACAAGGCTTCAAAGACACCTGTGTTAAAGCAGAATCCGGAAGACATTGGCAAAGCAAGCTCTACGCGTTCAGCATGCTCCTCAGTTTCTGCTGCACTTCCAATGTGTGTAGAGAACTCAGAGATGCTGAATGATAAAATGGAAATTGCAAATTCTTCAGTGCAGCCCTGTACCCAAAACATCTACCTGACTGGAGGTGAAAAAGAGCAAAATAGCAACATGGGAATTCTTCTGGAAGCAGCCTTGTTAAAAGATGTGGCAAATGAAACATTTGACCTGCACTCTGTTCCTTTGGTAAGCTTTTTTCTTTACGTACTTAATTACATGTTTTGTAAATTTGGAAAAAAGGGAGTTCTGCATTGCATGGTGCTGAATGGGAATTTGGAAATGAGTTTTTTGTCTACAAATGTGACACTTGTGTTGAGTTCTGAGGTGAAGTCTCTTCCTAATGAAGGGAGCGAAAAAATACCATTTTACAAACTGGTTCCACTTGTCCTCATGTGCAATTTCGTGTCTTCAGCCTTCATCTTATTCCATAGTATAATTTTTTTTTTTGTCAATTCTTTTTAAGACAGTGCAGTTGGTAAGATTTCTAATAAAAGCAAACAAGTCTTAATTTAGTCAAACAGGTAAAATTGTATAGCAAAACTTGGTGAGGTTTTTCTAAGTAAAGCTTTTAATATATGCTTTTATCACAATAATTCTAGTGGTGCTGTAACTTTAAATAGACATCAGACAAATTTCTGGGTTTTGGTATTTTCTTTAAAAACATGCTTTAGAACTAAGTTACAGTTTTTAAATTTACCTACAGAAGTGTTGTGCATATGTTATTATTAGTCATACAAAACCCAAACACCAATAAGTTGGTTAAGCATTTTATTTTTAACATCTTAATTTAACTGTCTGCTTTAAATAATTCAGGAGTTTGTTTATTTGAAGTAGAACCGGGACTCATTAGAATTGTTAAGAGTAGCCAGGAAATATTTCTCATGCAGAGGGCATATACCTGGTTTTGGGCGGTTGGCCAGCTGGAAGGTGCAAACTTCCTGGCCGGGAGGTATGCGCACACTGGTTGGTTGGGAAATATTTTTGGATGAGTCAGCTGCCTGTCAGGAGAAACGTGCTGCTTTCAAATACTTTGAAAGAAGGTTAAGAGAAAAGGAACAGTGGGAAAGAAGGGAGGAGCTTTGGGGTTGGGTCGACCAAGATCTCAAGAGGCATGGTACGGACACAGAGTTGGAGTCGATGCTGTGTGTAGTCCCTCCTGTTGTTTGCTTGTGGGTTCAACATCTTATGTTAAATTGGTGAAATGGAGGCAGCATTTGTTGCTGGTAAAACTGGTGTTGTTGGAATTTTTGTCAGGCTTTACTGATATGCCAGAAAAACGCCAGTAAAGCTCAGTATACAGAGGAGGATATTTCAGTTAAAACAGAAGCAGCTATACATTTCTGAAACATTACAGAATAAATTAATAAATAATATTGGTTATAATGATTAATTTAACTTGAAATCCTAACTGAACATGAAGGCAAGGATGGTCTGTTTTAATTCTAAAGTCTTTCAGACCTTGTATTCTGTTTCACTCCTTTTTGATGCCAAGGGTTGGAGAGAATGCTTTTAATTCACCCCATTGTGAAGAGGGAAACCTTTGTAATATTAATTGTTTTGCTGGTACTTGGAAAATCAACAGAGCAAAAGCTGTAAAATGTGCAGTAGACCAATCAGCTGGACTACACATAACTAGTCTTCTGAAAAGTACAGACTAACTTCTGAAAATGAAGATGGAGATTAGAGTCAAAACTGTAAAGTGCATTTATGACAAAATAGCTGCATATCAGCTTGAGTCGCAGAAAAGTGTATGCAGAGCTGCATGTTATTATGTGTTTACCTTTATAGGCTTAACTTTACAGCATGAGTGGTCATGAATTTGTGCCTATATAAACTGGAGCAAGAATTTTATATGAAAGGTAGATGAGTGCTACGTATAAACCAGTTATTTTAAACCTGTCCTGTATCCACTCCTGAATTTGTTTTATCTGTGTCACCTGAATGTGAAACATTTTAACCTGCTTATGCCTTGCAAGGTAAGACCTAGACCAGGAAACCTATTGTAATGGCTGCAATGTTTCAGGTAGCACAGGACAACTAACTCCTCAGTGTGTTAACTTGTGTAGCTGCCTGATAGAGAATTCATGCTGAGATTAGGTGCAGTCATGTAATTGAATGGTTTAATTAGAGTTTGGAGAGGAAGAAATTCTGATGTAAAATGACCTCTGTAATCTCTTCGGTCTGTTGGTCATTAGGGATTAGCTTCAAACTAATAGTTTTGTGTTGCTGAAGGCCATTCAGGAGCTGATTCTTGAGGTTCTGAACTTCAGATGTGTGGACAGTGTGACAGTGTACAGCTAAGCATAGCCCTTATGTGGTCAGTATTTTGTTACAGATGCTGGAAAGGGATATCTTAGCTTCTGACAGTGGTGATGTATGGGGTTTTTGGGTTTTTTTTGTTGGTTTTGCCTTTTTTTTTTTTTAAACAGATGCCTTCTGTGAAAGATGGGACAACACAAGGGAAGAACATACCAAAGAAAGGCCGAATCACAGTACGAAGCACATCAACTCCCAAGGCTGTTAAAATGGTGCCATCTGTGTTGCCCTTGAAGAGGGGGTGTGAAAATAAAGCTATCGGCACAATTAAAGCACCTTCTCACAAAGGACCTGTTCTGTCATCAGGCTCTGGTAAGATAATTCTTCACCAGAATGCTACCACATAACGAGTTCCTTAAGATACCATATTTAATGTAATTTCTGACAGAACTTTTATGATAATACAGAGCTGTATTTTTGGTGCTAAATATGATTCTAAATAGCAAATTGCTGCGGGTCAGGGGAGGAGATAGATTACACCTCATCACTGTAAAATCTCATCTGGTAAAGAATGTGTTTAGGAGGGGGTGGTGCTATTAGAAGATATTTAATAATATTTAATTAATAATAATATTTGAATATTATTTATAGTTTGGTTATATAACAGTACTTTGCAGAATTACAACTAAAATTACTCAAAAAGATGTAGAAGTGAAGAAGAGAAAATACAGAGTTCAGATACAAAGCATTTGCGATAAGCTACTGTGTTCTGTCCCAACGGGAATGAGCCCTTATTTCAGGACATAACATATTTTGTTCAACCTAATTTTTTAGTACGGGTGTATACTACCTTACTTTCAAGAAGGGGGAGAACATAATTGATGGAGAGACTACTGCTTGAGCTGCTAATAAAGCTCAGACTGATTAATACTAAGGGCAGGGGAGACAATCTCATGTATAGTGTGTAGGCTGCTGTACGAATCTGGTGACCGGAATCTATGTTCTGTAATTGTATTGGAGGGATTCAGAAATGCTGTTGTAGGTTATGTGCTTGTTTTAACCAAGTGTGGTAATACAGCATAAATTGCATCTATAGCCTAGCTATAAACGACTACACTACAATACTCTGTAATTTGAAAAGTGTGCACACCCAGCTATACCCAGTAAAACCTGTTCTTTTTGTTTAATCTGCTTAATCTAAGATTATAAAAGAGTCCAAAATACTACTTAATTATATACAGTTGGTGAAGCATGATAAAATCTGTATCTGTAGTCCCTTATGGGCTGAGTCCCTTAAAGAAAGTGGATATAGGCTATTCTCTGAACTTGAGCCTTGCTATGCAAGGGACTTGCTCAGTGAACTAGGTACCTACCTGTAAGTCAGCAGTTTCTTGTAAGACTCATCACCTCTCTAAATAGCAATTTAGAGCTTCTTATTTGTAATTATGGTCTTAGAAGAACTGAGATAAATACAGATATAGATGTATATTCTTTAAATTATTAATCCAAAGTAGATTTATGACATGATCACTAGAAATAAATGTGAGCATGACTAGGCTATAGGACTACTTCCCTTCATTAAAAAAAACACCAAAACATACAAACAAACAGATGCCGTTTTAGAAGAAGCAGAGTCATTTGCTGTTGAAAGTAAAAACCTTTACTCTTCAAATTTCTGTAGCTAAACCCATCACTCCTTAACTCATTGTATGTTAAAATTATGGTAGTCAGTAGAACACCTTCTAAATTTTTCGTGTTGGAAAAAGGCTGCTTAAGGTAAAAGCATGAAGTAGCACCTCAACGTTTCAAACTTCGGCTATAATCTGACAAGACTGGAACTTTAATGCTGAACATAAGAACTGTTTCTCCATGCCCTCTCCCCAGATACCATGTCAGTCCACAGTGTTTGTTTATAGCACATTTTACTCCTCGTTTTCCTTATGCAATGATTTGGTGCTACGAAGTAGGATTTGATGCATTAAACTTTATCGGGTTAACTTCCTCATCCCTTGCCAAGGGAATTCTTAAACAGTTCTTTGCTCTCTGGTGAACATAGTGCTGATGCAGATCAGAGGATGGGAGTACATGGTGGGAGAAACAAGGATGGGGAAAGGTACGAGTTACTTGCTACCATAGCCTTTCTGTATTATGACATCACACCTTTCAGGTAAAAGCTATCTACTGCTTACCCCATGTGTTTTTACAGTTTTTGAAGTAAAACTGTGCATGCAATTCCTGTGACGAAGTGGTGGCTTGTAAACCAAACTCAGTTATCTGTTTTACCTAAAGCCTTCTTGTAGGGAATAACTATTTCTTCCTCTTAAGTCATTTAAACATGTATTAAACTTGTGCCTTGATATAATTCCAGCAGCACAGATAAATAATTCGGTAACTGCACAGTTTGTTGTCAGGATTTCTCCAGACTACAGACACACTATCTAAATACAGAATGGAAAAGATTCCTGAAGGTCACCTAGTCCAGCCCCCCCTGCCTGTAACTGGGTCAGCACTGAATTCAGACTTGGTTGTTCAAGCATATGTCAATCAGAGTCTTGAAAATGTCCAAATGCTAACGACCTCCAGAAGCGCTAACATAAATGTAGCTAGTTCTTAACCAGTTGCTGACTGTATTTGGATTGTTGGGCAGGAATACAAGTAAGTGTAGCGAGTCCATTAAATACTCTCAACAGGAGAAGTGATGGTATAGCTCTGTGTTCTCTCTCACATGTGTATGTTGAGGGAAAGAAGCAGTCCATCTGTACAAAATATGTTAATATATGTATTATTCCCAGAATAATCAAGAGCTGCTGAGCAGTGGATTGTATCATGCACTGTCATTATGAGTGGGAAGTGGGAAACTCCCTTAGGACCAAGAAATAAAAGAAAAAAAATGCTACGTATAAAACACCAATTATAAGATCCTTGCAATTTGGCAGGAGTTGAGATTTGGGTAATATTAATTTTCACTTGTTAATGTTTTCTAAGGGAATTCCCTGATCCTCTCCTGAACAGGAGGCAGCAACAGGAGAGGAAGACTTATACTTGGAGCATTAAATTTTTGTGAAGTTATCTGCAGAGCACATTAAGCTAGAAATAACATTTATTTCAAAACGTTGGCTGACTGCTGTTCACCAGTATTGGTGTATCTAGGTTGGACCTTGAAGTTTTTTCCGAATTAAAAATTTGTTCTCTAAAAGGTAAACCCAACTTGATTTAGTATACCAAAGGGGTTTGTGAAATGGTGAAGCCCCGTTTCTGCAGCAAATCTAGAAATCAGTTACAAGCTAGATGCCTCAAAATTATTTCTGTAACTATTTGCCTCCATTTCTACATAAGAGAATGACCTGCAATCACATACTCATTCTCAAACAAAAATCTCAATTCTCTACAGGTAATTTTTCCATGATGGTGTGCATAGATTTCTGTAGTGATGCCTGATGGCAGGCAGTATGCCTTTTATTATGTTTTCTATCAGTGAAAACATTTATTAGAATTCAAGACACAGAATAAGGTGTTTGAGTTAACATGTTTTTTACTGGAAGGCATGTGTAATTTTGGAGCCCTGACTCAGGACTTTGAAGCAGTCTTGAAATGAAAGCAACTGTTGTTTTTGTTCCCAGCAAATGCACACAGCCTTTTAATTGGGTGTACATAACCACTGTGGAGGAGTAATAGACTGCTAATAGTTGAGGTGTTATGGTTTGGGAGGAGTCATGTCTTTCTCTCACTGGAGGGAGGGGTTGAAGCGGACTGGAGAAGCCAGGGAGCTTTGGTGGTCCCATGGAACATCACTCTGAGTTCTACTGTCAGCCTGCCCCAGCAACCACATGTTACAAGTCATGCAGTTGGACAGAAGCACTGTGACAGTATGAGCCATAGGACATAGTTTGATTTATGTTTGAACAGCGTAAAATATGGATATAACTCATTTACTTTAGATCTACAAATGTAGATGCCCACCATTGCTGCTTTTTTTTTCTATTGCTGACTGCTACCTACCCGTAAGTATGTAACAGAAAGGAGCTTTACCTGCAGGTATGATTTCTGATATGGTAATACTTGACTTAAATTTCTGCCTTAAAATTATACTATTGCTTTAAATTATTTCCCACTGTATGAAACTTCATGTTGTTGTTGATGTCTTAGCTATGAAGAGCTCAGTCAAGCCTCTTATGTGTAATTGAAAGTATTTGGGAATATGAAAGCATCAAAAATATTATAGCCCTGCTTACTGTTAAAGACTTCCAGAAATTTAATGGAAGACATGTAAATCATCTTTGTAACCAAAACGTGTTTCACTGTCTGACAGTTATTTCAGACCTTTGGGTACGATTTTGTCTCTGACTTAAGTCACTGATTTTCAAAGCAGAATTAATTAGGCCTTGTGTTTTACTTATCTTTTCCACAAGTCTACTCCAGTGGTACCCACCCATCTTTCTCCTGCTAGTACATTCATAGCATTCAACTAGAGTAATGAAAGCTTGGGTAGAGAGAAGCTTTACAGTCTGAATTCTGTGTTTCTTTGAAGAAGATTTTGGACAAATGAGACCTTTTCATTATGAAAAGTTGATCATACTGAACAACTTTTCCAGTGTTCTGCAACTAACTGAAGCACGGGAGAAATAATTCCGCATATACTATAGGAAATAAATTCAAGTTGCACTAGACCACAGCAGGTTTAGTGAAACTTTGAAGTACTAATGATTTGCTTGTTAGTTCATAATTGCTAAATTCCTTCAGTTGAATTCTGGTTTGATCTTACAATTAAATGTGTAATTCAGAGAATCTTCCAAAGATAAAACCACAACAGGCTGTGACAAATTGAGACTCTGTTGATTATGGAGTGTTGTTGCTGTTAATTACAGAAAGAAAGGCTTTTCAGATGGAAAATTGAAACCAAATGGTTTCAGTGGGTTTTCGTACAGCTGGAAATGTATATAAACTTTGTAATCCAGGACTTTTTGGTATAGCCTTTCAGAATACTAGTGAAGCAGAACCAAAACAATTTAGTTTCAGTAAACATTCCCAGAGTCCTTGAATCTCTGTTCTGACACTGAACCAGGAGCTAAACCAAACATGGTAACTGCAAATCACTTTTCAGCTTGTAGCATTCCTGCTATCTACCATGTGACTCTTTAGTTGGATTGACATGCTGCCAAGAGGAAACAAAATATTTTAGAAGGCAAACATAACTTCCAAGTTCTCTGGCCTGAAACAGTCAGGACTTTTCTCAGAATTTTGGAGTGGAGAGTTACTTGTAAGGGTATCCATATACTTTCTCATGAACAAATCTGAAGTGCAGACAAAAAAAGGCTTTAAATTTAGTTTCAACCAGTCTTTTTATGCTTTTTTTCTTTTGCAGAACAGCCAGC